GCCAAAAACTGGTGATAAACTATGAGTCTGTCAACATAATAGATAAACAAAGTAGTGTAATCATATAATGAAAAACCACTGGCTTGGTACCTGTGGCTCAAGTGGCTAAGGCGCCAGCCACATACACCTAAGGTGGTGGGTTCGAATCCAGCCTGGGCCCACCAAACAACAATGATGGCTGCAACCAAAGAATAGCCAGGCATTATGGCGGGCGCCTGTGGTCCCAGCTACTTGGGAGGCTGAGGCTGGAGACTCGTGTGAGCCCAGGAGTAGGAGGTTGCTGTGAACTGTGATGCTACAGCACTCTACCCAGGGGGACAGCTTGAGGCTCTGTCTGAAAAAAAAAGAAAAGAAAAGAAAAGAAAAACCACTAACACATGAAACAAGGTGGATCTCATAGGCATTATGCCGAACAAGAGAAGCCAGCCATAAAGCAATATAAACTATATGGTTCTATCTACATAACAGGCAAAACTAATCTAGGGTAATATAAGTTGGAATATTGGTTATTTTTGAGGGGAAGAGTATGTTAATAATGACTGGGAAGAATCATGAGGAACCCTTCTAGAGTTATGGAGATGCGCTATATCTTATTACAGATATTATAATTTTCAATTCTGAAATTGTCATTTTATTATTTTATTTTTTCTATTTTTTGTTGAGACTGTTGTCTTTTTATTCAATAGAGGCTTATTTTTTTTTTTTTTTTTTTTACCTAAACTTGAGCATAGTTATAATAGCTGATTTAAATTCCTTCCCCCAAGCCAGGTATAGTGGCCCACACCCAATCCTAGCACTCTGGGAGGCCTAGGCAGGTGGATTATTTGAACTCAGGAGTTTGGGACCAGACTGAGCAAGCGTGAGATCCTGTCTCTACTAAAAATAGGAAAACTAGTTGGGCATCGTAGGAGGGACCTGTTGTCCCAGCTATGTAGGGAAAAGAGAATTGCTCAAGCCTGAAAGTATGAGGTTGCTGTGAGCTATAATGATGCCATGGCACTCTACCCATGCCAACAGAGTGAGACTCTGTCTCAAAAAAACAAACAAACCAAAAAACTCCAAACTCTTGTCTGGCAATTCTAACTTCTCAGGCATCTTTGGGTTGGTCTCTCACTACTGATTTTTTTTTTTTTTTTTTTGAGACAGAGCCTCCAGTTATCCCCCTGGGTAGAGTGCCATGGCATCACAGCTCACAGCAACCTCCAACTCTTGGGCTCAAGCGAGTCTCCTGCCTCAGCCTCCCAAGTAGCTGGGACTACAGGCGCCTGCCACAACGCCCAGCCATTTTTTGGTTGCAGCTGTCATTGTTGCTTGGCAGGCCCGGGCTGGGGATTCGAACCCGCCACCTTAGGTGTATGTGGCTGGCGCCTTAGCCGCTTGAGCCACAGGCGCCGAGCCTACTGATTTCTTTTTTGAGTATAGGTCACAAGTCCAGCTTCTTACATGTCATACGTAAGTAATTTTGGATTGTAACTTAGACATTGTGGAAGATTCATTGTCTGAATTCTGTTAAATTGTGAAACTCATTGATTTGTTTATTTTAACGAACAATCTGCTAAACTCAAACTTTAAACTCTGGTCCTCTATGATGGGCAGCAACTGAATTTTTAGTCTCTGCTGGCATCTGCCTGTACGTGCATGATTCACGAGTCAAATGATGATTTGGGCTGAGTTATACCCAGACTTTGGGGTCCCTGGTTCTCCCCTATCTGACTTTCCCATCACTTTCTAACTCCTGTGATTTCCCTGAAATCTGTCCCTCTAGTTCATCTAGCTAGTAGAACTTTGTTTTTCTGAGTTTTTGCTGCCCCCCATGACACTGGCTGGTGTTAAGAGCTATAAAAACAGCAAACTTACTAAATGGCTTTCCCTTCTTCCAAGAGTTGAAATGCATTCGGAGTCACTGCATTTGGTTTTTCTCCAGAATTTCCATGTAGCTGCTTTTTATATTTTGTTCAGAATTTAAACTGTTAACTGGGAGAGAACTGGCTTGACAGAAGTTACTGAGCCATTATCAGAAGTGGTATCTGAAATGATCTTGGTTTGAGTGATGGTTACATAAGTCAATATATAGTTTAAAATTAATTGAGATAGGAGGTGGCGCCTGTGGCTCAAAAGGGTAGGGCACCAGCCCCATATGCCAGAGGTGGTGAGTTCAAACCCAGTCCCAGCCAAAAAAAAAAAAAATTAATTGAGATATACACTTTATGGATTTGTGTGTTTTCTCATCTGTTATAACTTTAAATTTTTTTCAGGATGAGGAAGATGGGTCAAGTTTTAAAATACCAAGCAGGAAATATCTAACATTCCTTAAAACTAGGGTTTGCATACTCACATGCCTAAAAATGCCAAGATGGTCAGATAGGGAAGGTTGATAACAACATGTCAGTGCTTAATTCCAAGAAGGAATCAGTGGAGAGATGACCTGAATTTTGTAGAGCTGGAGATCCTTACTTTTGTATATATTCTTCTGATTTCAAGATTTCAGCAACTTAATTTAAACTTGTTACGACGATTATAGGATTCTAAAACAAGTCTGCGAGCACTGTGTTTTGGTTCTCGGTTGACATTTGCTTTAGATATCTTAAGGATTGCATGGGTGTAGAGACAAAGATGTTTTGGCTTTCTTGCCCACAGCCTTGGGTGTGGGATGAGATAAGGATGTCTGGGCTCTTCTGTTCATACCCCCAGACAGGTGAGACAGGATAGAAGCCTCCTTGTGCTTTTAGATAACCATAACTATGTACCATAATGCTTATGTTGTAGCTGTTTGCCACATTGCCACTTGTGTTCCCCTGGTGATAAAGGTGTACAAGACCTTCCCCTTGTGCAGATTACAGATGGTGGATGGCAGATTAAGAATTGTGAATTGGGCTCGGCGCCTATAGCTCAACCGGCTAAGGCGCCAGCCACGTACACCTAAGGTGGCGGGTTCGAATCCCCAGCCCGGACCCGCCAAACAACAATGACGGCTGCAACCAAAAAATAGCCGGGCGTTGTGGCGGGCGCCTGTGGTCCCAGCTACTTGGGAGGCGGAGGCAGGAGACTCGCTTGAGCCCAGGAGTTGGAGGTTGCTGTGAGCTGTAATGCCATGGCACTCTGCCCAGGGGGACAGCTTGAGGCTCTGTCTCAAAAAAAAAAAAAAAAGAATTGTGAATTGTGGACCTTCTATGTAGCCCAGCTCTCCAGCCGCCAGGAGCTGGATAATGGGAACCTGACTCACTGGCTTCCCTCCATTGCTGCCTTGAGGTAAATAAAGAGCATGTCATGAACCGGGCATTATGGTGAGCGCCTGTAGTCCCAGCTACTTGGAAGGCTGAGACAAGAGAATAGCTTAAGCCCAAGAGTTTGAGGTTGATGTGAGCTGTGACACCACAGGGTAACATAGTGAAACTGTCTCGAAAAAAAGAGCATGTCATATCTACCCTCTGTGCCAAAGTTTTCCTTCCACTATCTGAAGTGAACTGTTTGCACAGTAGACACCCATGTGCATCATCTTAAATCCTCTCGGATTCACTTCTTACCACAACTACCATTCTGGTGTCCTGTTCTTTGTGATTTTAGCCAGTTTTCACACAGTGCCTTGCCTTGGGCACTGAGTTGAACAACAATTCTTGGTTCTTCCCACTAAGATCCCTCTGAATCTGTACATCTGGGCAATTGCAGAGCAATCCTTGACCAGTGGAGGACAGGAGATCATGGACTACCATACACCTAGTAAGTAGTAGCCATACTTCTGTTACAGATTAACAGCCTTTGACACTTGGAATGCAACTATTGTTCTACAGAACTTTTTTCTCAATCCTCCAAACTATGGAATACTGGAAGATGCTCATATTCCCTTGGAACAGATGGAAGTAGATATTAATAATATCTCCCTGTGGCTAGCTATGTTAACTTTCCTTCTCTCTAACACAGCAATCCCATGCCAGCGATTTCCACATAGCATCTCCTTTAGTCTTCCCAACATCCCTTAAGGTAGGTCTTACATTTAAGCCCGTTTTTTCTGATATGTTTTTGCATAATAGGAAAAAATAAGCTGTTTTCTCCTACTGCACCTTTGGTGGGATTTGCTAGAATGGTTCTGGCTCATGCAGACATAAAGGGATGAAAAACCTTCACTTCTGGGTGGCCATGTGAGCAGCAGTCATGCTGAGATCAGTCACTAAAGGCAAAAGTTACCAGTGATGTGGGCTGAGGTGGCTCACACCTATAATCCTAGCGCCTCAGGAGGCTGAGGCAGGTAGATCGCCTGAGCTCAGGAGTTCGAGACCAGCCTGAGCAAGACCAAGACCCTGTCTCTACTAAAAATAGAAAAATTAGCGAGGTGCTATGACAGGTGCCTGAGGCAAGAGAATCACTTGAGCCCAAGAGTTTGAGGTTGCTTTGTGCTATGATGATGCCACACAGCCCTCTACCCAGGGTGACTGAGTAAGACTCTATCTAAAAGAGTCACCTGTGGGTAGGGCGCCGGCCCCATATACTGAGGGTGGTGGGTTCAAACCTGGCCCCAATCAAACTGCAACAACAAAAACAAAAATAGCCGGGCATTCTGGCAGGTGCCTATAGTCCCAGCTACTTGGGAGGCTGAGGCAAGAGAATAACCATAGCCCAGGAGTTGGAGGTTGCCATTAACTGTGACACCACGACACTCTACTGAGGGTGACAAAATGAGCCTCTGTCTCTTAAAAAAAAAAAAAAACAATAATAACAATTCTGAGGTATGTTTTACACCGTTCCTAGCATTTTTCTGTAAAGTTGATCTCTGGTGCCCCTTGTGTGGCTAGTTTGATGACATTTTATTGGTGGTCTTTCCTTGCCTGCATCACAGAGCCACTTCATACCTGTGTTCCCTGTACCTTACAGATAAACTACCTCACTTGAATTCTTGCCTCAGGGTCTGCTTCTGAGGGAATCAAACTAAGACACCTTGAGGGTGGGGTGTCCCATAGAGCATCTCTTGGCATCCCAGTCAGAAAGAGAATACTGGAGGAAAAGAATCAGGGAATAAAAGACTTTACTATTTCTTGTTTTTCAAAGGGTACCTCCTTCCATCCTGGTCCACCCACAGAGCTTTGCCTAATAGCTCTGTCTTCTGTAGAACTTAGCTCTGCCAAGAGACCACCTGAAATGAAACAGAGGTTTAGGCTCAAATATTAACTTTCAGTAGAAATGAGCTATGAGCAAGCATTTTCAGGATGGCAAGATCTTCCGAAGCAGGTAGTCCCAAACCCTCTTTCCTCTTCCTCCCTTGCTGAAAGGATATGCTACCCCAAGAATCACTAGGAAAATTCCAGATAGCTGTCTTACTCTCTTTTTTAAAAAATTATTTTGTTTTTCTTTCTACAAGAGTCAGATTTGCTTTTTATGTAGTCCAGGCCTGGAAGAACCAGGTTCCCAGCAAATCTTCAACCTGAGAATGCTTGTAACATTCTCTCATTCAATTATTCACTCATTCTCTCATACATTTATTCACTCATTCATTCAATAAATATTTGTAAACATCTATTGTGTGCCAGGATAGATGCCATACTGACTGAGAGGTGCCCAAGACTTATGCATTTCTTTGTAGCATGTAGCGTACACATATGTGTACATGCACATGTTATTTTACCCTAGAATTTTATCTTCAGTAGTTATTTAAGTGCCTAACATAACAGTGTTCTCCTGAGGTCAAGAGAAAAAGACTTTGGTCTTGATCCCTCCCTGTGAGGATTTTGAAATAAAGAATTGTTCTACTACAAGAAGTGATTAGAAGAAAAAAAGAAAAGAAATAGAGAATTGAGGCTGCTCAATATTAAGACCATCCAAGTGTAGATGACATACCACAGATTTTCTTCCTTCGTCTCTAAATGTAAATCTAAGTAAATGTAAATAGGAATTGACATGATTGGATATAAAGAAAGGAGAAACCTAAGAAAACAATCTGATTTTCTGGCTAGAATGGCAGAAGAAAGAGCAAACTTACAGTGGGAGGCTAATGACTTAATTCCATCTGGGACATGCTGAACTTGATGAGGCCTATGGTCAGCCAAGTAGACATATCTGCTTGGATATATCATGGTACCTGAAGCCCTGAAAATGCTCACCAAGTACATGTTTGTTCAAACGATTTGGAAAGTGATTGACGGTTTCTTACAATAGGAAAAACCTATGAGAGGAAGGCAAACATTCTTTTAAATGATTGTGTTAACTCTCAAGGCATTGCTCAATGGCTCCATAAGTGATGAGAGGCGCAATAAGGACCACAACATCTTGCAGAAGGGAAAAGGAAGTGGAGGAGGGAAAACTTCAAGAGTAACTCAGTGGTCAGAAAATGCAAATGCAGCCTCAGCACAGCTCCTCCCAGGACCACTGCTGACCCAGATGTGTTCCTAAGGAGGCCTGGGACACATCTGGCCTTCAGCGGTTTCATTCACTGCTCACTTCAACAAAGCACGCACAACATTGCTTACCTTTGAAGTGTTGAGCCGCACTCCACGTGGGGAAATTTTTCTGGATTATCTTAATTCCGTCTGTAAGAATCCCAACAGCCTGCAAAAGATGTTCTTTGCTGTCCCAGGTACCAGCAGGATGGTAAATTTGTTTATCAAGCTAGAAAATTCAGATAATAATATCAGCATGAGGCAACAGTTTTTTCTGCTGCTCCTAATTTCTTTCCTTGTGTTCAAGCTCATCTATACTGGCTTCAGCACCCTTCCTTCAGCTCTAAAGAGTCAATTCTATTGTGCTTTCTGTCACAGAGAAGAGAGCCAGAGAAACAAAATATCCCTGAGGAGAACTAGAAATGGTATAGTGTTAGCTAAGCATTCTAACATACAATCAACCAACCAATGATAAAATTGTTTCAAAACAAATAATTAGCACCCAAAATATAGACATTTGTAGTAAAAAAATGATTACTCATTTAATTCAGGTAAAAGTGTGTTCCTAAACTGAAAGGTCTGTGCATCTACGGATAATTTTAAATGGAGCATAGAAGCAAACACGTAGGCATTTGGGATTCTTTTCCTCCAATTTACCCAAAGAAACAAGTTGGTTCAATTATACAGCGTTTTGATCCACATGGATGGAAATTCACTATTTCATGAACGCTGGAGACTTGTAATAATAGTGCCCTTTATAAGATTATTTCAATTTAAGTACTGTAGAACATCTGTAAGTTGATTACCCAAGGGACTGTAACAAACTAGTCAACATACGGAGGTGGTCAACATAAGGAACTAGGCCTCTGATATGTACACGTGGTGCAAATTAGGTCAACTTAAGAGGTGGTCAATGTAAGGAAGTGGTCAACTTGGCAGGTTCTACTGTATATTAAATATTTTTTTTGTTCCTTTTTTGGCCAGGGCTGGGTTTGAACCCACCACCTCCGGCATATGGGCCCAGTGCCCTACTCCTTTGAGCCAAGGCGGCGCCCTATATTGCATACTATTTATCATAGAATTATAGTTACTAAACTCATAAAATACTTTTCTTGAAAATATCCAATAACTGACAAGTCCTAAGATGTGGTACAGAGATCCCAGAACAAATTACACAGTAGCCAGATGCCAGATGCCAGGGTGTTTGGGGCCTGGAAGTACCCCAGATAGATTTGCAGCTTGGGGTGAGCTTCTGCAAGGAAGGATAAAGTGGGGCCAATGGAATGTTTCTAGCTAAATACCTGCATCAAACCAAGTTTAAGTCCCCTGTGCTCCCAGCCATCTCGCAGGGTGGTTCCGCCACGGCTTTCCCTGGAAATGATGGCTGCAATGACAGCAGGGTCCACACAATGCCTTTGTCCCACTTCTTTGATCAGAGTCTGGTAAGGATTTATGGCCCTCAAATCCATCTCAACAAACATTTCAGAACCACGGATCCCTAAAGTAATTAAAACAAAACAAGGGTGCCTTATTTGTTCTGTTCCAGAGGAGAATCCTTTTTCTAAGTTTGCTAAGTTAGCCACTGCTTCTGACTGCTGCCCATGGCTTGGGACAACCATTCTAAGACATATACTATTGCTCTCTGACTGCAGAAACCCAGACAGGTCTGTAACCTCGGACAGGTGCCACTTTCTCTCTGTTTCTCCTAATTTCCCCCACACTGGCACATGGGGACGTCTCCTGGTCTAGAACTCAGCCAACCCAAGTTTTAGCCTGGCCCTGCTACTGCCTGGCTACTGGAAGTCTCTCCTTGCTGAGCTTTGGGGTCCTGATCTGTAAATCAAGAGGGTGGGGTGAGATGTGTCCTTGTGGTTGCTTCCACCTGTGACACTCTAATACCGGGATAGCATCACAAAGATGACTTTGGAACAGAATTACAAAAGAGAGGAAATAAAAGGAGCAAGATGCTTGCTAAAATGCTCAAATTCACGTGAAGTAAACACAACAACCAACAAAAACCAAAGCCAGAATCTAACATTTTATGTAAGTAGTAGTTTCAGTAGAAATAATAGTAGAAATAAACACAAAGGACAAAGTGTTTCCAAAGTTTGGAAAGAATGAGAGGGAAAAAATGATAAGAAGTGAGTTGTTAGGTTGGTCAAGATTCTGGGTTTTTTAATTGTTTATGTTATCATCATGATTATTATACCTTTTCAAAATTAAATTACTTCCTAAAAAAGAATCTGAAAATGATGATGGGGGAAGGCAAACATTTGTTTTGCTTTTCATTTACCACAGCTAATCAAAGTGTTTAAATCACAGCTGGGCCCCAAGGTCTCCATGGTCATGATGTCTCCATAGCAGCCATGGTGAGGATTTGGGTGAGGGCTCATTAAGTGAGTGAAGAGGTATGAGTCCACTAAGGTGCCTGGAAAGCAGACTACAATTCACATAAAGCCTTGGAAAAAATACAGCTTGAGTTGGTATAAGGAACATCACTAAACCTGCAGCAAGGGCTGCAGACTTGGTCCTCCCCACAGCCCTGTTGCCATTATAGACTCAAAAGACAAAACAGAGGTTCCCCTTTCCCACAGTATTCCACACTGAGAGCTAAAACACCGTGGAAAAGATTATAAAATTCAACTCTTACAGCATTTGCTGCAGTCCATTTATCTCACTCTGTTACCCTGGATAGAGTGTCATAGTGTCATACTTCACAATAACCTCAAACTCCTGCGTTCCAGCAATCCTCTTGCCTCAGCCTCCTGAGTAGCTGGGACTACAGGCACCCATCACAACACCTGGCTAGTTTTTCTTTTTACTAGAGACAGGATCTTGCTCTTGTTCAGGCTGGTCTTGAACTCCTGAGCTCAGGTTATTCACCCACCTCTGCTTCCCAAAGCACTAGGATTACAAGCATGAGCCACCACACCCGGACTGTCCTTTTTTTTTTTTTAAAGATAAGGTCTTGCTCTGTTGCCTGGACTAGAGTGCAGTGGTATTATCATAACTCACTGCAACCTCAAACTCCTAGCCTCAGGCCATCCTCCTGCCTCAACCTCTTGAATAGCTGGGAGTACAAAGCAAACCATCACACCCAGTACTCTTTCTATTTTTAGTAGAGATAAGGTCTCGCTCTTGCTCAGGCTGGACTCAAGTAATCCTCCAGCCTCAGCCTCCTACAGTGCTAGGATCATAGGCGTGAGTCACCAAACCTGGGTGTGCAGCTAGATCAGATTGCCACAAGATTTGTAAGCAGGAACCTTGAGGGAAATTTAAAAACACTTCTTAAACAAATGCTTCTGCAGATATAAACATCCAGATTAACAATTTGCCTTTGTTTAAGACAATATGAAAGTGGGATGTCATTACAAGTTAAATACATTCTTATTTTATATCATATTATTGTGAAGCTGAGTTTCTAGTTAATAAAATTAGAAATAAAAATTGAATTTACCAAAAGAATTTAAATTCAATCTAATTCTTAGTTGTTTCTCTCAAAGTCTATATTTGGTTTTTTTGTTTGTTTGAGACAGAGCCTCAAGCTGTCTCCCTGAGTAGAGTGCTATCATATCACAGCTCACAGCAACCTCCAACTCCTGGGCTCAAATGATTCTCTTGCCTCCAAGTAGGTGGGACTATAGGCGCCCACCACAATGCCCAGCTATTTTTTGGTTGCAGCTGTCATTGTTTTTTGGCTGCCCAGGCTGGAGTTGAACCTGCCAGCTCAGGTGTAAGTGGCTGGCACCTTAGCCGCTTGAGCCAAAGTCTATATTTGTTAATGGAGATACAGAGCTTTTGCTAAAGGAGATATAACATTATATCCTGTAATGTTAAAAAGTTTGTTCCAATAGTTGACTGGTACCTTAAGACTACAAGTATTTGTTATAAGGAAGTATTTTGTTAAAATTTTTGATGCAGGCTCGGCGCCTGTGGCTCAAGCGGCTAAGGCGCCAGCTACATACACCTAAGGTGGCGGTTCGAATCCCCAGCCCGGGCCCACCAAACAACAATGATGGCTGCAACCAAAAGAAATGGCCGGGCGTTGTGGCGGGCGCCTGTGGTCCCAGCTGCTTGGGAGGCGGAGGCAGGAGACTCGCTTGGGCCCAGGAGTTGGAGGTTGCTGTAAGCTGTGATGTCATGGCACTCTACCCAGGGGGACAGCTTGAGGCTCTGTCTCAAAAAAAAAAAATTTTTTTTTTTTGATGCAAAAACCCAGAATCTGACCACTTCTCCCTTCTGTTACTGCCATGGTCCAAACCAGCATCATGGCTCACCTGACTCTTGTCCCAGCTTCTCACTGACCTCTCTCTCCACTCTTGCAGCTTACTCTCCACCCAGCAGCCAGAGTGGCCCTGTGGGAACATGCATGAAGTCAAATCCTTCCTCTTTCTTAGCTTCCATTTAGCGGGATGGCCGAGTCCATCCTGTAGCATCCAAGCCCTACCTGGCGAGGCTCTCCGCTCCTTTCCAACTTTTTCCTTTCCCTCAGTCCCCTCCAGGCATGTTTTTCTCTGTGCTTTATCCTTCCGCACACCAGGCAGGTGTCTCCCTCAACTTGTTCTTTGCCTAGAATGCTGTTTCTTCAGGTAGCGCCATCACTTATCCCTTCACTCCCTTCAGGTCTCTATTTAAATATCACTTTATCAGCCAAAGATATAAATAGGTCAGGAACAAAAAAAAAAAAAATGAAAGTGGTCCTTAAACATTTAAAAAGATATTCAACCACACTCAAAAGAAAGAAAGCTGTATTAAAATATCACTAAAATACCATTTGCCAACTGTTCGATTGGCAAGAATCTAAGTTTGGCAATATACTCTGGGAGGGGCTGCAAGGAAATAGGTGTCTCGTGTATGTGTTACTGTGAAGTGCGGTTTTCCAACAGGCTGTTCATTTCACCACTGTTTATAACAGCAAAGGACCGGAGATAACACAAATGTCCTTAACAAGGGACTGATTGAATAAGCTAAGCTATATCCACACAAGGATGCAACTGTAAAAAGGAAAGAAGATCTGTATACACTCCTATAAAATGCTCCGCAGGCACCGAGTAGTATTTACTATGTACAGAATCATATTCTTTGTGTAATGAAGGGAAGAAAATACAAGTATGTATGTGTGTGTGTGATTTGCTCATACTTTCAGAAAAAAATAATACAGGATGAACTGAAAACAAACACAAAAAAATTATGAGTTATCAGACAGGATAAGAGGAAGGTAGAGGAACAGGGTTAGAAGCTAGACTAAATTCCTTTTTCATGGTTTTCATTTGAGAGCCATATAAATGTTCCCATTATTTTAAGAGTTAAGTCCATGAGGGAGTGGGGAGAGGGGAGGAGGAAGGGGGATGGGGATGTCACAGTGTATGGCACACCTCTAGGGGGAGGCACACAATTATAAGAGAGTCTTTATCTAACAAATGCAACCAGTGTAACCTAATTCTTTGTGCCCTCAATGAATCCCAAACAAACAAGCAAAAAGTTAAGTCAAATAGGAAATAAAAGGAATTGTAAAAAAAAAAAAAAAAAAAAAAAGAAAGAAAGAAAAACCAACAAATCTAATTCTATATCAAATTGAAAGTTTAACATAAAGAGGAAAATTATCTCAAGTGAGTCCGAAATATGTCAATGTAATATATACAACTAATGGAACACACCCCATGAACATGAAGAATCACAATAAAATCTTAAACCATATTCCTAGTCTCACTGTTGGTTGGTAATATTGGCATAGTCATTTTGACACTATTATATATAAATAGGTAATTATGCTAAACTCCTTAGAACCCTGAGATTTGGTGTAAGATAACAGAGGAACAACTATAAAATTAATGTCATGTTGTATTCTTTTTTTTTTTTTTTTTTTTTTGAGACAGAGCCTCAAGCTGTCCCCCTGGGTAGAGTGCTGTGATATCACAGCTCACAGCAACCTCCAACTCCTGGGCTCAAGCAAGTCTCCTGCCTCCGCCTCCCAAGTAGCTGGGACCACAGGTGCCTGCCACAACGCCTGGCTATTTTTTGGTTGCAGCCATCATGTTTGGCAGGCCCAGGCTGGATTCGAACCCACCACCTTAGGTGTATGTGGCTGGTGCCTTAGCCACTTGAGCCACAGGCACCAAGCCATAATGTTGTATTCTTAAATATGAATGTGAAATATCTGTATGAACACATAATTATTTTTCTTTTAAAAATATATATTTTCTGGGCCAGGTATGGTAGCTCACACCTGTAATCCCAGCACTCTGGGAGGCTGAGCCAGGTGGATAGCTTGAGCTCATGAGTTTGATATCAGGCTCAACAAGAGCAAGACCCCATCTTTAAAAATAACCAGGTGTTGTGGCAGGCGCCTGCAGTCCCAGCTACTTGGGAGGCTGAGGCAAGAGGATCACTTGAGCCTGAGAATTTGAGGTTACTGTGAGCTATGGTGTGATGGCATTCTACCAAGGTGACAAAGTGAGACTCTGTCTAAATAAATAAATAAATAAAATGAGTCACCTTTCAATTATACACACCTATATGGTAGCTGTAAAATTCTGCTCCCACCAGACAATTGAAAAAAAGGAGCAAAAGGGTAGCACCTGTGGCTCAGTGTGTAGGGCACTGGCCCCATATACCAAGGGTGGCAGGTTTGAACCCAGCCCTGGCCAAACTGCAACCACAAAAAAAGCTGGGCATTGTGGGGTGTGCCTATAGTCCCAGCTACTTAGGAGGCTGAGGAAAGAGAATCACCCAAGCCCAGGAGCTGGAAGTTGCTGTGAGCTGTGATGCTGTGGCACTCTATCGAGGGTGACAGAGTAAGACTCTGTCTTTAAAAAATAAAAAAATAAAATAAAAAAGGAGCTATATATACAGCAATATATATAGTCTCACTCTGTTGCTGGGATAGAGTGCTGTGGCATCATAGCTCACAGCAACTTCAAATGCTTGGGCTTGAGCAATCCTCTTGCCTCAGTCTCCCAAGTAGATGAGATTACAGGTGCCCAACATGCAACCCAGCTAGTTTTTCTATTTTTAGTAGAGGTAGGTTCCTGCTCTTGCTCAGGGTGGTCTTAAATTACTAAGCTCAAGCAATCTACCTGCCTCAGCCTTCCAGAATGCTAGGATGACAGGTGTGAGCCTCTCTGCTCAGCCAGAAGTAAAAATTTTAAAGTCTGTTGCTCTGACTTTGACTGTAAGTAACTGGAAATTATTTTTTGAGTATTATTATTTTAAGCTTCTCTTTTCTAAATTTGGAACTATACATCTCAGAAACACTTTCTTCTGAGTCATTACTCTATAAATAAAGACAACTTGAACATTGCTTCCAATGGCTTTTCATTTTCTTAGGTCCAAGTTTTGACATTTTCTTATTCAAGGTCCCTTACCATCTCACCAGTCTACCTCTCCACCTTCGCCGCAGAAATCCTCTCTTCTGTTCTTGTCCCACTGACCTGCTCACTGTACCCCAAACACTACTTCTCATGCCTTTCTGCTTCAGTACCTTTACTGAAGTTATTACTCTCATTCAGCAGGCTCTTCCCTTTTCTTATTAAATCACCAAGAATTCTTCAACTTTCATATCCCCCGCCCCTCCAAAAGCCTTTCAGGCCTGAACATACTAGCTGAATGTGAGCTCTTCCTCCTAAACTCCTCCCAGACTGGTGGGGTTTTTTTCTTTCTGTTTATACTCATTTAACTCTTATGTACTACCTAACAGTGACAGTTTTCTCTTCATATGCCTTGCCTTCCAAGGCACTCTTTCATATACCTCTCGAGAAGATATCGAGCATAATAGGTGCATTGTCAGACAGGAAGTAGGCAGATCAATAAATATTCAATCATTTAAAATTCCCACTGCTATTGCCTTTACCTCCTTGGTAAGCAGAATGTACGCTTAATTATAGAAATCACAATTGATTGATGGCTAAGTTGGTCAGGAGAGCCCACTCTTTCACTACATGCAATCGTTGCTCCTTCTGATTCAGGACTGTGCTGGGTGTTTTTGTGGACATTCTGTGGACCATTGCAAAGGTCAGTCAGTGACTTATCAATAAGGCCAATAAGTCCCCAAAGCATGACAGAGGACATCATGGTGGGGAAACTTATCATACAGAACCTGTTCTGTATGATAGAAATAGAAAATCTGAAATAGAAATTGATTAATTTTAAAACTTGAAAGTTTCTTACAAGAGGCTTATTTTTTTTTTAGAGACAGAGTCTTACTTTATCACCCTCAGTAGAGTGCTGTGGCATCACAGCTCACAGCAACCTCCAACTCCTAGGCTTAGGTGATTCTCTTGCCTCAGCCTCCCGAGTAGCTGGGACTACAGGCACCTGCCACAATGCCTGGCTACTTTTTGTTGCAGTTTGGCCAGGGCTACATTCAAACCTGCCATCCTCGGTATATGGGGCTGGTGCCCTAAGCACTGAGCCACAGGTGCCACCCTAAGAGGCTTTGATTTTTTTAAAGTTTAGAATTATTTTCAATTCAGTATCCATTTTCCAATTCCAAGATAGCATTCTGAAAGACTCAGTACATGGTTGGTTGGTGGTTTCCTAAGCATAAACTTCCAACTCATTTCAATCCAATTTCATGTTGGCATGGGCCATGCATGTCTTACATAAGTTATCACACACACACACCCATCCCATGTCTAAACTTGATGATCTCACAGTTTTGTTTCCATTCTCTTCTTTTCTCTTTTTAGAGACAGGCTCTTACTCTATCACTCAGACTACTGGTTGGTGCCACAATCACAGCTCACTGCAGCCTCAAATTCCTTAGTTCATCAGAGCCTCCTGCTTCAACCTCCCAAGTAACTAGGACCACAGGTATAGGCCACTATCTATGCCTAGCTAAGTTTTTTAATTTTTTTGTAGAGACAGGTAGGTTCTTACTCTGTTCCCCAGGGTGCTAACTCCTAGCCTCCTCAAGTGATCCTCCCTTCTCAGCCTCCCAAAGTGCTGGATAATAGGTATGAGACTGCACCCAGCTTATTTGATCTTTTTTATTTATTTATTTATTTATTTATTTATTTATTGGAGATAAGCTCTTGCTCTGTCACCCAGCTAGCATGCAGTGGCATCATCATAGCTCACTGCAACCTCAAGCTCCTGGGTTCAAGTGATCCTCCTACTTTAGCCTCCCAAGTAGTTGCAATTACAGGTGCATGGCACCATGCCCAGCTAATTTTTTATTTTTCATAGAGTTGGGATCTCACTCTTACTGAGGCTGGTCTTGAACTCCTGACTTTAAGCAATCCTCCAGCCTCAGCCTCCCAAAGTTCTAGAATTGCAGGTGTGAGCCACCATGCCTGGAGCCATACTTCCAGTACAGTCTACATAGGGAAAACAAATCACAACATCAATAAAATACCACAAGAAGCATCAGAGAACCAGAGAACATGACTCAGAAGAGGTTTCCTGTGCTCCATTTCTCCCTCCATCAATTGTTTTCTTGATTTCATTGGAAAGATAACTTATAAATTTCATAAGATATAATAGGACCAGTACTAACCTGGTCTGCAAGGTCACAGAGAAAATCTCTCCGTTTAAGGAGGTCTTCTGTACTCAGCAGCAACTTGCCCTTCAAGATTTTACAAAGCAGTGCCCTTGTCCGATAACCTGGGTTTAACAATTGGAGAATACACCTGGCTTCAACTGGGTAGACTTCAGTGTGGCTCTACCACCACAAAGGAAGTTTTAAACACCTGCATGTAGACTCACCTGCTTCTTACCTTCATCCTGTATGATCATTAGCGAGCTTTATATACGGTTTAAAACCCCAAACCACTGACCTTTTTAGACCTAATTATAATAGTACTTTGTACTTAGGTGGCCCCTTTAATAAAAGGATTTCAAAGGGTTTAGTAACCACTATTAATTAGTTAATCCAACAACCTCTCCCCTCCCCAGTTTGTTCTGGAGGCATGTATTTGATGTATATTTTAAAATGTACTAGGCAAACAGCTTCTAAATTTGAGAATAAGAAACAGATAAACTGGAAGTACTAGCAGCTTTCATTCTTTAACTGATGGTTTGCTTAAAATACTGATTCTTCTGCTCTTTGTTTCCCATTCCAATGTCCTATATTTCCTATACCAATATGTCACAAGATCTCATGCCATTATGTCCCAGGATCCCACACCAATATGTCATGAGAGATCATGCCACCATGTCCCATAGTCCTTATGCTAGAATGTCATGAGATCTCATGTTGCCATGTCTCATGATCATGGTGGGTGAACTTGGCCACCTCTAACAGGTGCAAGTGTGGCTGCCCGCTCTCAGAGACTGATGCAAAGCCAGGAAGTAGCAACATGGGTGCTCTTTGCCCATACTTTCTGAGGATATGGGGAAAAAGGATTTGGCCACTGATGAAAATTTCTTCACACTTATGTCCAAAAGAAGAAATGAAGCATATTGTGCAGCCCTAAATACAGGAAATGGAACGGACATTCTTGAAATAGGCAAAGTACATTTTCCAGAGGGGAAAAATAAGCCTGGCCTGGATCCTTCCATAAGGATGAGAAGTGCCTCAGACAGTACATAGTCCTCCCACACAGCCACGGAGTGAAAGAGGTGTGCGGAAGCTGAGCAGTTAGCAGGGATGGGAGGACTAAGGCACAGGCAGCTTTCCAGCTCGCTGGCAATGAGCAAACCACAATTTTTAGGAGAACATGCCCTTGGCACACTGATGTCTGTATTGTCTCCTGGCACTCCTCCCCTGCCTGTCTTCCTGCCTCAAACAAACTGCCCTGTAGTGGCCTCCCAGTAGGGGAAGGGGTGAGGAGGTTCTCAACCCGTCAGTGATTCCAGGCTTGGCTCTCAGGAGAATGACTTGGAGGGCCTGCTTCATCGCCACCGTCAGTCCTATAGGCAGGGCCTCTCTTTAATAAGAGATTGTGCAGGGCTCTAGCTGCCCCAAGGCAGCCCTTAGAAACACTCTCACCAGCGACAGTGGTGACATTATATTGATATACTCATGGACCACCCAACTGCAGGGAAGGGGGGCCACTTATGTGAGGTTTTCAGGCTAGTGCAATGAGAAAGAGAGACATTTCATGGAATATAACATGGCTTTAAGGTTTTAAGTTACCAAAAAATGATCTGAAACTACAATAGGCCTCATTTCTGATATCTTTCCATTGTCCTCCTAAGTCTCACAAGGTTACGTGGCATCAAAGATGGCCACAAAGGACAGGACCTATGTCCTTAGTTCCTTTACCACATGCAAAGTTCAAAACAGAAAGCAAGAAACCAGAACATCCAGTTTCTTTCAGAACAGGGGGCAAAGTTGGATCAGGGAAAAAGGGCCCACGTGGGCTAGACTGTGCCTAGTAGCTGCTGGCCTAAGTATGGGGAACATGTCCCTTAGACCTCACCACAGCTCCTCTCTAGACCTCAGAATTCAGAGGCTTAAAATGAAGAACATAAGCTCACAGCTGAATCTAGTAAATTTAGAAATATTACAGAGGTGACAGTTTTATAATCTTTGAATATTTGAACTTTAACAACAGGCTTAAAACTAGTTTTATCTCAAAGGATACCACAATCACCTGAACAACAAAGCATTTGAGTCATTCCTGATCACACAAAGTTCTCAATCTCCCCGTAGACACAGTTACTGCACTGCCTCCTGTAAACCTTTTCTTTTCTTTTCTTTTCTTTTTTTTTTTCCAGTTTTTGGCCAGGGCTGAGTTTGAACCCACCACCTCCGGTATATGGGGCCAGCACCCTACTCCTGCACCGCCCTGCAAACCTTTTCTGAAAATGCTTCAGCACAGTTCCCAGCAGGGTAGGCTTCCCCTGTGTGTTTCCCATTTCCTTCCCTCAGACAAACCACAAACACATCACAGATGGGATAAAAACAGGGCAGTTACACAATCGTTTTGCCCTGTAAAGGGGGGGCAGATCCTCACCTACTGTTACGTGTCTTAGTCAGGCTCTAAGCACTCAAATACACACACAATTCAACCGATTTCCTAAACAGGGCAGCCTCGATTTCCCACTTGAACTGCCACTTAGCCATGGGAGGAGTCTATGGTTTTGCAGTTCAGAACCAGCACTCCCTTCAGCCCTGTGAGGGGAAGTAAAATTGCCACCCTCAGTGTCAGCCTCAGTCACACCACACTCACATTCTCTCATACACTTCTCACCAGTCCTACCTGTGATCTAACGCCCAGGGGTTGATCAGACCCTCTTCCATTCGAATATGGTGGGCCCCAACCGGTCCTACCTTGCCTCAGATGCCTCTCAGTGCAGGTGCCAATTCCTGCATGCCACTTTCTACCAGTGTTTGACTCCTCAAAGACCCTTCAAAGGGGTCCTTTCTCCACCCAGTTGAAGCATCCTCACAGTGATGTGAGACTACTATCGTTGGAGCGAGTGTTCAATGGTTCATGTCATCCAAACTGACCAGGGGTCCTCATGGGTGTACAGAGGGTTGGCAGCAACAACCAAGTGTGTCTGAGCCTGTTCTGTCCTCAGGTGGTCTCGCCTCCTGGTCAGGGAACCAGAAATGTTGCAGGAAGACGAGGCCCAATGGGAAAACGAACACCCAAACACCATGTTTAAAAGAGGAAGGGCTTTATTTCAGCCAGCAGAGTGATGGCACAGAAGAAGTGAAAATGGCCAAGCTTGGAGGTATCACCTTTTTTCTTCTCTGAGACAGATTCTCACCTTGCTGCTCTTGGTAGAGTGCTATGGCATCATAGTTCACAGCAACCTCAAACTCCTGGGTTTAAGCAATTCTGTCACCTCAGCTCCCAAATAGCGGGGACTACAAGTGCCCACCACAACTCCCAGCTATATTTTTTTCTTTTCTTTCTTTCTTTTTTTTTTGAGACAGAGTCTTATTATATCGCCCTCAGTAGGGTGCTGTATTGTCATAGCTCACAGCAACCTCAAACTCTTGGGCTTAAGCAATTCTCTTGCCTCAGCCTCCCAAGTAACTGGGACTACAGGCACCTGTCACAATACCCAGCTATTTGTTTTGTTGCAGTTGTCATTGCTGTTTAGCTGGCCTGGGCCAGGTTCAAACCCACAACCCTCGGTGCATGTGGCCAGCGCTGTAACCACTGTGGTATAGGCACTGCCTAACCCAGCTATTTTTCAAAACAAGGTCTCGCTCTGGCTCAGGTTGGTTTCGAACTCATGAACTCAGGCAATCTACCCTCCTCGGCCTCCCAGGTGCTAGGATTATAGGTGTGAGCCACCAGGCCCAGCCGAGATATCAGCTTTCTAATTAAAGTCCTAGAAGTTTGCATTGGTTTAGTGTGATGGTATATAATCTCCAACGCTATCAGAAATCTACACTCAAGAGAACTTGTCAGTATTTTCCATAACTTTTCTTGAAGAAGCAAACTTTGAACTGTAGCAAATTAAAAAAACACTTTTTGAGAAGACTCAAAGTAAAATGATAATTATCTATGGATTACAAAAGTCTCAGAATCGGCATGGTTATTTTGTGGCATATAATAATTTAACCTAGCCATAATTATTACTGATAACATACACCAAGACATATCAATATTTTACAGTATTGGAAGATATATCAGTAACATGTTTATACAGATATAATCCAAAGAAAATTAAATACCATTTCATATTTGACAATGCTTCTTATACAGTTTTATCATACCAAATAAGCTGAATGTTTCTCAGACTTCTCAGACTTTCAGTAGCCCTAATATTTAAAAGCTAGTATGAGGTGAAAAAGACAGGAAGTTATATGTTGTAAGCCTTCAACCTTTTGAAGTTTAGTTTTTCTAGTTAGTCAAAAACCTAATAAAGACAACACAGGAGGCTCGGCGCCTGTGGCTCAAGAGGCTAAGGCGCCAGCCACATACACCTAAGGTGGCGGGTTCGAATCCCCAGCCCGGGCCCGCCAAACAACAATAATGGCTGCAACCAAAAAATGGCCAGGCATTGTGGCGGGCGCCTGTAGTCCCAGCTACTTGGGAGGCTGAGGCAGGAGACTCGCTTGAGCCCAGGAGTGGGAGGTTGCTGTGAGCATGATGCCATGGCACTCTACCCAGGGGGATAGCTTGAGGCTCTGTCTCAAAAAAAAAAAAAAAAAAGACAACACAGGATTGTCTTAACAAAGCATAAAATATTTTGTTTCTTTTAGGTCAGTTACTGAAAATGTAAAGAAACACATTCTGTAATGAAATTTTTTTTTTTTTTTTGAGACGGTGCCTCAAGCTATCCCCCTGGGTAGAGTGCCATGGCATCACGCTCACAGCAACCTCCAACTCCTGGGCTCAAGTGAGTCTCCTGCCTCAGCCTCCCAAGTAGCTGGGACTACAGGCGCCCACCACGATGCCCGGCCATTTTTTGGTTGCAGCCATCATTGTTGTTTGGCGGGCCCAGGCTGGGGATTCGAACCCGCCACCTTAGGTGTATGCGGCTGGCGCCTTAGCCGCTTAAGCCACAGGCGCTGAGCCATGAAATTTTTTTAATTAAAGAAGGAAACAAGACTCAGTGCCTGTAGCTCAAGTGGCTAAGGCGCAAGCCACATACACGAGAGCTGGTCGACTCAAATCCAGCCCTGGCCTGCCAAACAACAATGACAACTACAATCAAAAAATGGCCAGGCATTGTGGCGAGTGCCTGTAGTCCCAGCTACTTGGGAGGCTGAGGCAAGAGAATCACTTAAACCCAGAAGTTGGAGAGTGCTGTGAGCTATGATGCCATAGCACTCTAACCAGGGCGACAACTTGAGGCTCTGTCTCCAAAAAAAAAAAAAAAAAAGAAACACTGAGGTAGCTGTCTGGCACAAGGGAGAGGCCAGGTAAATTGTTAAAGAACAAAAAAAAAAAAAAAAAAAAAAAGGAAACAAGTTAACAAGTTATACAATTACATAATCAAAATGTATATGTAATATGGTTTCATGAAGAGAAAATAAAAATTTTATGAAAACTTCATTTTAACCAAAATTTTTCTTTTAATTATAGCCAAATGGATCACATACAAAATTCCTTCATAAATTCCCTTTTATGAACTTTATCCCAACTTACACAGATCATTTACAAATATACTTAAAACTTCCTGGTTTGCCTCACTTTCTCTTTTCTTAAATAACCAGTCATTTTAGGATGAAAAATTTCCACATAAGATCCTTTCTCATACAATATTATTCTCTTTTCTGTTTAACCTTTCTTACCCAAAATATATTTCTACATTCATTGCCTTTTTATATTTATTTTTGTTACTCACTAGTTACTTTCTATGTTGTTTTAATTTTCTTTCCAAATCCACATTGTGAATCAACCTTTAAATAACCTCTGAATCAGATAAAATTACATATATATTTAATAAAAACACATTTTATGCTTATTTCATAATTTTTCTTATTTAAAACATACCTTAATATTTGGTACACTTTATAGGATCACATGTATTGACTAGAGTTCTTATTTTTAGTAATTTAAAATTTTTAGTGATAACTTAATAGGAAATCATGAATTGTCCGTCATAAAACACTTGTCATAAAACAGGATGACATATAAAATTATACCCATTAAATTATATACTATATAGTTACTATAAATTTATTTTCATTCACTTAAGTAAACTGACAATTAAAAGATTTTTTAAAAGCAAAAATCTTATTCTTTGATAGAGAGGAGACTCCGTTTCCCAATCATAAGACCTAGTATAGACAAACTGGAATACAAATTAATGAGGAGGCAAACCGAATCTGTCTCTTTCTCTCCTTTCCCTCCCACTTTTATAGTTTATTCAAAATCTTTTGTTATTCCTACTAATCATATGAAAATCTTGTTCAAAAGAGAAAACAAAGTTTTACCATTGCATTAGTGAATTACTGGAAAAGCTACTTCCCATAGCTCAGTGAGTAGGGTGCCAGCTACATACACTGAGGCTGGTGGGTTTGAGCCCAGCCCGGGCCTGCCAAACGACAATGACAACTGCAATCAAAAAATAGCTGGGCGTTGTGGCAGGCACCTGTAGTCCCTGCTACTTGGGAGGCTGAGGCAGGAGAATTGCTTAAGCCCAAGACATTAAGGTTGCTGTGAGCTGTGACATCAGAGTAGACTCTGTCTAAAAAAATAAATAAATAAAATCTTATAAACTACTCCATCTAATTTTAACCAATTTTACTGTAATCATAATGCCAACTCCTAGAAAAACCTAGTAAGTTTAAATAACTTTGAACTGTTATCAGTTTCCAATTTTTATCAGCACAATTAAATATATTTAGTTTTTTATATCTCATAAAAATAAGATGTCAAGGTATATAAACTTAAGCTTATGTTTAACAATTAATGTTTCGGTATTTTAATCATACAAATGACTCAGACGTTTTATGATTATCTGCTATAACTTCACATGACTTTATGACTATCTGCTATAACTTCATTTAACATGACTATTTAAGCTATCAAATAGTTTTGAAACCACACATAGTTACCATCCTTAAAGTCTTTCCTGGTACTCCTGGGTCTCATGTAGCTATGTGGCATCAAAGATAGCTATGAAGGACAGGTCCTCTCTGCGTCCTCAAATCATTTACTAGGTGCAAAAACATTCAAGATAGAGAACAGGATGCCTAAAGGATCCAGTTCCTCTCAGAATAACCACGGGGCAAAACAGGAGCAGGAAGAAGGGGCCATTTGAGGGTAGTTTGTGTCTGGTAGCTGCTGGCCTAAGAACTGAGAACATGTCCTCAGGCCTCACCATGGCCATCCAAAATCCAGTGGCTCAAAAGCCAAAACATAAACTCACAGTCAAATCCAGAAGAATTTAAAAATATTTCAGAAGCTGTAGTTTTATAACCTTAAAAGATTTAAACTTTAATAACAGTTTGTTTTTTCTGAGACAGAGTCTCAAGCTGTCACCCTGGGTAGAGTGCTGTGGCCTCATAGCTCATAGCAACCTCAAAGTCTTGGGCTCAAGCGATCCTCTTGCCTCAGTTTTTCTATTTTTAGTAGAGACGAGGTCTCGCGCTTGCTCAGGCCGATCTCGTGAGCTAAAGCAATCCATGTGCCTCAGCTTCCCAGAGTGCTAGGATTACAGGTATGAGCCACCTCACCTGGCCTAATAACAGTTTTAAAACAAGTTTTACTTATCAAAGATTACCAAAGTTATGTGAACAAAAAGGCATTCGAGTTCTTCCCTGTTTTCTGGATAAAACAGCGATTTAAGCACTTACTTTCTTTTGCCAATTAATTAAAACTCTTTTACATATTTTGGCAGTAAAATATTATATACACCTGACATCTACAGACACACAAAAATTCAGACATACAGACATAAGAATTTTTGCTTGATAGCTTTTAAATATGTTTTTATTCAATCTTTTATCAATATGTTTTATCAATCTTTTAATTACCTATCTTACTGCCGTAGCAATTGTTAGGCAGGTGGTAATTTGCCTTCTAAAAAGATGACTGCTAGGTGAGACACGGCAGAAAATGTCTATTTCAAAAGCACAGAACTAGGACTTAGGCCTAAATATTGTACCATCATTTGCTTACACCAAAAGGGAAGAAAAGGTTATTTGTAAAGCTCTAGTTAAGACAAGGTGGCCGGCTCGGCGCCTGTGGCTCAAGCAGCTAAGGCGCCAGCCACATACACCTGAACTGGTGGGTTTGAATCCAGCCAGGGCCTACCAAACAACAATGATGGCTGCAACCAAAAAATAGCTGGGCATTGTGGTAGGCGCCTGTAATCCCAGCCACTAGGGAGGCAGAGGCAGGAGAATCGCTTGAGCCCAGGAGTTGGAGGTTGCTGTTTGCTGTGATGCCACAGCATTTCTACCCAGGGTGACAGCTTGAGGCTCCGTCTCAAAAAAAAAGACAAAGTGGCCAGAAAAAATACCCTAAACAAAGGTAGGACTTATCTTGTAAATTTCTTTTCTTTTTTTCTTTTTTTTTGAGACAGAGTCTCACTATGTTGCCCTCGGTAGAGTGTAAATCTCCAAAGGGAAAGAATTAATGAGGTCTTCCCAGTCATGCTCTGCATGGTGGGACTCTGTTAACTGGATTCTGTCCTGAGAATAGGACTTAGAAGGCAGAAGGTAGGGGGAGTAAAGAGCACCAAAGGTCATCAGGAGGATGCAGGGGCTACCAGCACAGCAGTGAACACCTAGCACTGTCACCTGGTGCAGGCCCGGTGTCTATCTGTACCTTGCACGCAGTACGTGGTTGACTCTCTTCTCTTGTGTGTGGGCTGCTACCCCCAACTATATTTTATAATTTGACAATTGTTGGGGGCAGAGAAACTGCGAGTAGTGCTTTATACTGTGCTGACACATAGGAGTTGCTTCAAAAAAATTATTTAGGGACAAAAAAAAGAGAAGACAAAACAAAACAAAAGAGACACAATTGTTTAGAGGTAGACTGAACCTGCTTGAAATGCTGACACCTGTTCTAGAATGATATTTTGCAAAGTGTCGACATTGTACAGTTGGTAGAATGAGACAGTGACTACTTTTATAGAACAAAAATCCTCAACTTCAATACTTTACTGGTATGATACAAAGTCGATATACTTGAGGGCAGCTTCAGCTGATGTGGCCTGGCTCTCTTAGTGACATAAGTGCCCCAAACAAGGGAATCATTTGGATGAGTTGCAGCTACTTTGGGTTTGAAGTTAGGGAGCTTGGATGCAAGAGAAGGTTCAGGAAAGGAAAGGAAGAGGTAGTTTCAATGACAGAGACAAACCTAGGGTTAAATCAATGTTGCAAAGTTAGCAAGTGACTTTCCTGAAACTATTAATAGTTCATGAAGCTGACGAGGCTGGTCACCATCTTACCCTTTTTCTCATCAAAAGTTATCAATTAAAATTTGAAACTCTGGGGCGGCGCCTCTGATTTTTATCAAAGAAGTCAATATTAGGATTGCCAGATAAAATACAAGAAGCCCAGTTAAATTTGAATTTCAGATAGACAATGAATTTTTTTTCCTTTTCTTTTTTTTCCCTGGGGACAGAGTCTCACTTTGTCACCCTCAGTAGAGTGCTGTGGCATCATACAGCTCACAGCAACCTCCAACTCCTGGGCTTAGGTGATTCTCTTGCCTCAGCCTCCCAAGTAGCTGGGACTACAGGCACCTGCCACAACACCTGGCTAGTTTTTGTTGCAGTTTGGCCCAGGCCGGGTTTGAACCCGCTACCCTCAGTATATGGGGCCAGCGCCCTGCCCACTGAGCCACAGGCACTGCCCAACAATGAATAATTTTTTTAGTTTAAAAGTGTTCCAGCCCGGAACTTCGGCCTCTGTGGTGGTGATTCTACCCAGGGGCTCCAGGCAGAATGGTGCCCAGTTGCCAGGTTGAAGTATTGTATTTCGCACAAAGTGCTGAAATAACAGGAGTTCGTTCAGAGACCATTTCTGTGCCACAAGAAATAAAAGTACTGCAGCTGTGGAGAGAGATAGAAACTCAACATCCTGGGCATAAACCATCACCTGTCTTATATGAGATCAGACAATTAAGTTCACAAATTCATCCTAGAAAAAAGGCTACATTACTTCATTGCTGAATATCACTACAGTCACCTTGGAAGTACTCCCTTCGGCCATCTGGTGACGGAAGTGAGATTGGCTGATGTTAGAAATCAGGTGGTATTTGCTGTTCGTCAAGAATATGTCGAGCTTGGAGACCAGCTCCTCTTGCTTCAACCAGGAGACGAAATCGCCATTATCCCCCCCCCCCCCATCAGTGGAGGAGAGTGCTTTTGTGCCATCTAGGAAAGATGTGGATGGAGTTAAAGAGAAATCTAAAGATATAATAAAATTCACTGAGGAGAAACTTTCAGTGGATGAAGTCTCCCAGTTGGTGGTTTCCCCACTCTGTGGTGCAGTATCCTTATTTGTAGGAACTACAAGAAATAACTTTGAAGGGAAAAAAGTCATTAGCTTAGAATATGAAGCATCTCTATCCATGGCAGAAAATGAAGTCAGAAAGATTTTCAGTGAAATTAGGCGGAAATGGCCGATCAAACACATAGCGGTATTCCATAGACTTGGCTTGGTCCCAGTGTCAGAAGCAAGCATCATCATTGCTGTGTCCTCAGCCCACAGGGCTGCATCTCTTGCAGCTGTGGATTATGCCATTGATTGTCGCAACCCGTCGGGCTCCTGTGGCCCTGGTCTCGGTTAGCGCAGGAAGGAACCAGGCGAGAAGCAGATTAGAAGTACAAGCTTGTGGAAGGCGGGCTAGCCCTTACTTTCC